TGCAGGGCCAGAAATCTTGGGTCTTGGGTTTGTCTTACTAGGCCCAGCGGCCACCAGCATTTGCAGTGTGGTTGTTGTGACTCAGGAAAGTAATTTATACTTTATCTAGCGTACAGTTAAATAGTTGTACCTTTGACTATTATATTGGATAGTGACATTATCGAAGGGAAGACTCTAGTTCCAAAAGATGCGGTGAAGTTGTCCATACCTCTTCCTCACAGTCTTGCCCTCTCTTTCTCTGGGCAGTAGAGTGAAGGGGAAATAATGAAGAAGGGTTGGCTGACTCTAAAGGGAGAGTCATGTTCTACGTGTTTCTGTCCTAAATTCAAGCTGTGAAGATTTGTCAAGCCCTCAAGCCCTCCTGTCTCTCGCCACCTCAACCTCTCACTTCTCACTGCTCCTGCGTTGGACCACAGATGTTCTCTCCCCTACTTCCATGGGCTTGTTTTTAAGGTTAATTTTAAGATTGTTTCAGCCCCCTCCTTTCATTTCACAGATTATTTTTAATTTGCAAGTGATAAGGTGGATTAATTTGGGGAAATTATTTAGATCTATCCTGATCATTTGCAAAGTAGAATGGGAGAAATTATTTTGGGGTTGGAAGCTGTGCTATGAGTTTTAGAGGAACATATTTACTGCTTATTTTTCTAGAAATAAACAATACAACGATAATCTATTACCTGTTCTCCAATTCTGTTTGGACTTGATGTTGAATAATCCTGTCACACAGGTGGCTCTGTGGTCAAAGAAAAAAAAAAAAAAAGGAAAATGTGTATGGTATAGTTTTCCCCTTTAACAGTTTCTTTTTTTCCATTTTAATTCAATTGGATGACTATTTTTAAAAGATGCTGAATATTTTAAGCCTTAAGTTTGTGGCACTGATATCTTACAGGTGCCAGCAAATTGTCACTGCTGTCTTCTGAAGACAGACGTCTAGGGTAACCACTTTCCATTTCCTGACACTGGAAACAGATACTATTTGGGATTCCTTTTATAGCTTCTTCAGCTAACGACTCCAGTGACCACTCAATTGTGGTCTTGTAGTAAATCAAAATTTCTTTGAAAGACCCAGCTCTGTTATGTAATTGCAGTGTTTGTACAAAGCCATCTCCCTAACTAAAACGGGCCTTTCCCTTGTCCTAAGTGGTACTCTGTCACTGCATGTCAGGTTTTTGGAAAATCAAAGAATAGACCGTTTTCTTCACTTCTTCCCTAACTTTCTTCTTTTAAGTTAACTTACAGTTGATGAAGGCTACACATTGGTGTCAGACTGTGTCAGACCTGGTCAGTTAGCATGAATACGCAGTAGAACATGCTGCTAACTGCTGCATCAAATTCACATGTCTAATGTGACTGACTTTTGCTACATGGAATTTTAGCTGATTGAGGAGCATGTGCTAGGTGCTGGGGTATACTATCAATGCTGTGCTATGAATTTTTTTAAGAAAGATTTTATTTTATTTTTAATTTTATTTATTTATTTTATGTGTATGCGCGTATTGCCTGTAGGTAAGTGCACCCGTATCGTGCAATGCCTGGGAGGTCAGAAGAAGCTGTTGGATCCCCTGGACTGGAATTACGGACAGTTGTTAGCGGCCATGTGGGTGCTGGGATTCGAACCTGGGTCTTCTGCAAGAACAACCAATGTTCTTAACCACTGACCCATCTCTCCAGCCCCTTTATTTTATTTTTTATGTGTATGAGTGTATTGCCTGCATGTGTGTGAGTGCACCCATGTCGTGCTATGCCGCAGAGGTCAAAAAAGGGCTTTGGAACTGGAATTAAGGATGGTTCGTAGCTGCCATGTGGGTGCTGGGAATTGAACCCAGGTCCTCTGCAAGAGCAGCCAGTGCTCTTAACCACTGAGCCATGTCTCCAGTCCCCTGCTATGAATTTTTAAAAAATTTTATTTGGGGGGCTGGAGCGATGGCTTAGTGGTTAAGAGCACTATTCTTGCAGAGGACCGGGGTTCGATTCCCAGCACCCATATGGTGGCTAACAGCTGTCAATAATTCCAGTTCCAGGGGATCTAATGCCCTCTTCCAACCTCCACTGGCATTGCACAACACAGGTGCACTGACCTATAGGCAAGCAATATACTCATACACATAAAATAAAAATAAATTAAAAATTACAAAAGATTTTATTTTGATTTTAAATTATTTGTATGTCTGTGTTTGTGCATATGAATGCAGTGCCTTTGTAGGGCAGATGAGGGAGGACATCAGATCCCCTGCAGCTAGGCTTACAGGTAGTTGTGAGTTGCCTGATGTGGCTGCTGGGAACTGAACTTGGGTCCTCTGGAAGAGCAAGAAGAGCTCTTAATTGCTGAGTCATCTCTCCCCTCTACTATGTATTTTAATAAGATAGCCAAATCAAGCCCATGAGCCATGTGTTTATTCACAGTCGATAGTCTATGGCCATCTCTGAGCCTTAAGGACAGAAGCTTCAACTTATTTTGCCAGGATGCTTTTCAGTGAAAAAGAGAAGTCAGTAGGGCTTTTAAGTATGTCAAATTTTGTGAGCATGAAGGTCCAAGTTACTTTGCCAGAAAAGGCTGAAAACTGACAGGCCTTGACTAAGGCAGGACGTTTTCCCCGGTACCCATCAGACCTTGAGACCATGGTACGCCAATACTCTAGAAGCCAGTGTCCCCTTAGCCAACTTGGAGAAAAGGCCTCCTCTGAGACCAAGGCCACAGTACGTACCAACCCTTGTAAAACCATTTGCCTCTTCAGAGGCTAATGCCTCTCAAACCCGAGAACAATTAAAGCGAGTCTTTCCAAGCAACTGGGGAATTGAGCAAAATAAATCAGAACTCCTCAGCCTTGGCTCTGGAGGCTCGCCTCATTATGAGAGCAGATCTAGTAGCCCTCTTGCCATTGTCTTTCATTTCTCAAGTGAGGTGATTCTAATTAAATTAATCTGCATGTCAATCTATTGGTGATCAATCAAAGAGCCTGAGGTTTCCCCTATGCTGCTGGGTGCTTGTGGCTGACAGGGGCTGATAATGGAGGAAGAAATAAACTGTCGGGCAAAGTTAATTAGTCAACATAATAGGTGGATTAAACAGGAGCCAGCTGATTGCTGTTTCTCGTGTCAAAGCATGAGGTGTGCGCCCAAGCTGCAATTACAGACAATTATTATATTTGGTTGTAAGAGGTCGCATGAATAAACATATCTCTGTGGGTTTCAGTTTTAATCCCCTTCCCCATTTCACAAAAGGAGATGTGTAGGTCATTTTTTCCCTCATTGTTTTAGTCAAAGTTCTCAGACGCACACTTTTTCCTGGATCCTTATGGAAAATGGTACTCAGAGTTGCCCTTAGACATGGCCTGAGAGTCTGAATTGGGCTCGCAGCAGTTGTACTTTATTTCTATTTCTCTTTGAAAGAGATCTAAAACCCTTAATTAGCAAGGACTTTTGTTTTTTAGTTTTTTTTTGAGACAGGGCCTCCCTGTATCCCTAGCTAGCCTGGAACTTACTATGTAGACCAGGCTGGCCTGGATCTCAAAGCATGTGCAGCCATGCCTGGCTGACTTTTTTTTTTTTTAAGATTGACACGATGATAATGATACTGAGGGAGGTTTTGGCCCAATTTCCCAAACTGACATGGGAAATAAAAAGTAAAATAGTATAAGTAACTTCAGCAAGAAAGACCCAAGAGAGGAAAAGAAAGCAGATCCCCGCTTTCAGAGATACCTCTTTATAGCTCTGTCTTCTTCACCCTGACACAGTAGGGGGAAAATATTTTAAAGATTCAAAAGAGTTTTATTTGCATGATCAACTGAGATATCTGCTTCGGTGTCTAAACTGAAGGGTAATTTAGGTGAAACACAACCACCCTTGTGTAAAAAAAAAAAGTTATGCTAATAAAGATCCTCTTGTTAAAATTATGGTTAACAGTGTACCTTCTGCTGTATAACTATAAACTGTGCAATTTTACTTAAAACGGCATCAAAAGCGTTCCATGCCAAAGACCCACTCGTCAATAGCTCCTCTTGTTAGACTTGTACAACATAAGCACCAGTTATTATGTGAAATAGCTATGCAATTTTCTCCAGCTCCCAGCTGTTATTTATTTAACTTGAGTTTATTACCCACCATGCTTTTCTATTAAAATGTTCATTCATTTTTCTCTTGTGTCTCCAGGTCGTGGTATCTACCACAGTCAACGTGGATGGCCATGTCCTGGCAGTCTCTGATAACATGTTTGTCCATAATAACTCCAAGCATGGGCGGAGGGCTCGGAGGCTTGACCCCTCGGAAGGTACGCCCTCTTATCTGGAACATGGTAGGCGAATCATTTTCATTGGTTGGCATTGCTGCTTTTAACTGTGACTTTGTTTGATTTCTTTCTTCCACTCCGCTTTTTCTCCTGTTCCAAGTTTCAAGTGTCCTGTTGTGTTGAACACTATTGCTCTCTGGGGTTGTGACCCTACAAAATAGGATGCTAAGGGTTTAAAGGCAGGGATGCACCTTCTGGGTCCACCATTTTTGTTGCATGGCTGATATCTCCTCCTGTAGGTTGGGAGGAGAGAGAGACCTGGGCCATGGCTTTGTTTTAAGCTCCCACTTGACTACAAAACAAAACAAAAAGGATGAATCTATAGAGAAATGAGGCCATACAAATCTGCTGGTGCATCTCTGTGACTACCTTGTTTGAGGATCAGGTTTAAAGTCTAGGTTAAGGTGGCATCCTAGGTATGATACATAGTCCGAATATCTCTCCTTTGTCTTATGCACAACCCTCTCTTCATCACCATGTGACACAGCCTGCTTTCTACAGGTAGACTTTGGTGGGGAGAGATCACTACCATTGAGAATTATGAAAAGTCTGTGGTGTCTGTGATAGGGAATTCCACTGAGAAAAAAATGTGGGTTAACTTGGGCGCATGTCTAAATAGTTTTGTTGTACGTCTGTGCAATGAATTCATCTTTTCATCTATCCAAGACTTTCCTGGATACCCATCTCCAACTATACTTTCCCTAATCTCCCCAATTAAACTGAGCCTGTGGCCCTCACTTTACAACTCTTTTTGCTGGGTCAGCAGGATTCTCTTGAGAACATAACCATACAAATTATCACCCAATTGCCTGACTTTTTCCATGGTATACAAGCTGTCCATGATATAATTCATAAGGTGGGAGACCCCCTTTCCTGCCAGCATCCCAATTTAATAAACACACCACTGTCATTTTTTTTGCCTGCCCCCTCCCCCTTCCCATGTCTGAGGAATACACAAACAGTACATTTTATTAATTAGCCAGATGTAATGCTGTTAGAAGAGGTTCTTCTGTACATCCTGTTTTACAGTCTTTTAAAGTAAACCATCATCTTTCAGAAGCCACGGCTTTATGGTTTCATTAGTGTTGAAATGGATGGATATTACTTTTTGCAGGAGGCCATTTGAAACACCTGCTCATGATTACATCCCTAGTTCCATTTCTGTACTTAAAATTATTCTGATCCTCACTTTACAGTAATGGTGCCTTCTTCTTAATACCCTTGGAGTCACTGAAGGCATTGTATGACTAAAAGTGTTCAGATGAGAAGAGGAAGAAAAGCTAGGGAAATAATCACTAGGTGCAATGTAGAGCGCGTTGGGTTAGGAACTGAAGGTATAGCTTGACTCTGCTGGTCTCAATGAGAACTGCCCAGTCTGGAGACAGATATGATGGTCAGAAATCTCCAGAGTTAACGGTTTCAAAAGATTCTCCATGCCTAGATTCCATTTCTGCCCTTAGGAAGTGAGGAGAAAGCTGATAGGATGGCTTAGTCAGTAAAGCGTTTGCTTTAGAAGACCTGGGTTTGAGCCTCAGAGCCCACATAAAATTGATGGCATGGTAATGTGCTTATAATCCCATTTCTGGGGAGAGGGCAACAGTGAGATCTCTGGGGCTAGCCTAATTGGTAGGTCCCAGGCCAATGGGAGACCTTGGTTCAAAAAATAAGGTAGATGGCATCTGAGATTGTCCTCTGGCCTCCTCCCGCCTGCACACATAGTAACCCCTGAGCCTACACACACACACATACACACACACACACACACACACACACACACACACACACAGCCAACAAAAAATAAATTAAAAAGGAAGTGGGGAGACCTCATGATACCGCATCACTGATTCCTCCAGCAAAAACCCAGAGTAAACAGAAAACAACCAGCAAGAAAGAAAGTCTCCAAAGAATGGACCTCAATGACATTATTTGGCAGAATGATGTGTACAGAAAGTCCTGAAATAGGTACCAGAATCCCCAAGTTTATTCGTAATCTCATTCTGGCCTCTGTGTAACCTCCAACAAGCCGTCTTAGCCTTTGGGATCCTTGATTTCCTTCTTGGTAAAATGAAGGTAGTCATATGTAGGAGCTAAAACAACAGAGCTTTGTTTGGGGTGGGGACAGGCCATGGGGGTAGGGAAGTGGGCTGGGTGGAGATGCTGAAGACAGACCAGGTCATGCTCTGCTGCCCCAGCCAGTGTCACCGAGGCGAGTGAGAGTGAGTGAGCCAGATGTCCCAATTTGGCAAGAATTAAAACTCTCCTAATTTTTAATTGTTGATAACTAGTTACAGATTTTTTGAAGCACAGAAGGGAAGTGAAGGGGAGGAAAAGGCACCGAGGAAGAGTGCTTTCGAGGCTAACACTTTGGGAATCTTGATTAAAGTGCCTTCAGGCTTCCTCCCAGCTCATCTCCTCCCTGCAATGATACATATTCATGTACCAGTTGGGGCATCATTATGTCCCAAAATTGAAAGACTGTACTTTCTTCTGCTGCTTGTCTTACCAGTCTACAGAGAAGCTTGTTATGATTAGGATGACGTTCAAGGAAAATGGTGACGTCTTGTTACATATCAGTGGCCAGCTGTCACTAGCAGCACAGCTCTGCTGTGTCCATCAGCCAAAGCGCTTTACACTCACCAAAGTCTTATTTTATTCTCTCCAGGAGAATGAAAGGGTAGACAGATGCGTTCAGATCCTGAACAAGGACAGTGCAGTAACAGAGAAATCTGCTTTTCTGTAGTGAATCAACCAGCCACACATAACCACCCACTCATTTAGACACTTCAAGATGATGTATAAATACCTACTCAGCAGAGGGTGACTATTGAACTCGTTCAGTGGCAATGTGTAGGAGTGGACCTACATGCTAATTCATGCTGGTTTGGGCATAATAGTTTATCTTGCCATTGAAAAATCCTACTTAAAACACCCTGTTTAAGAATCAGCTCCCCTAAAAACATATTTTAAAAAAGAAGCAGTCTTTAGCCCCCTCCCATGCTTCTGTCCACTTTCACCTCCAAAGCCAACAGCAAAAGTGTCTTTACCTCTTGAAACCTGGAAGAATCTCTGGGTCTTTTCCCACCTCATTTACAGGTAGCCCGAATTATTTTGAGCAACTCTGCACACTGCTATTTATATCCTGCTTGTCAGACACTGAGAGGAAAGTTCTTTTCGTGGCTCATCTTTCTGCATATAAGTAGAAAAGAAATCATGGTTTACATTCATTCAGTCTTCCCTATATGACCCATGCTCTGAGAGCCCCTGGGCTCAGATTAATGTCTCTGGGTTTCAAAGAGGAGGGATGGCAAAGGCAGATTTATTTCCTAGAATCATGCATAGTCCAAAGAGGCTGGATCTTGGCACACCATAGCTCGTGGTAATTGCCCCCTCCCTCCCATTTTTTTCTCCATTCATAAATACTAAAATTTTCTTTGGCTGGATATTTATGGACACATTTAGTGAGGTTTCTTCTTTAAGCAATGGCTTTATGGAAGATGCACAGTTGTGAAGGGAGGCAACCCCACATGGAACTGCTCTCAGGATTCCAATTTCTGCAGAAGCCTGGGCTTGGCAGGCACCGAGGGAGCTGAATTGTGGCCACCCACGGTAATGTACAACACTCGTGTGTATGTTTGCCTCGTCTTCCAGTCACACACTCGGGCAAATTCATGAGGACTGTGTGCCAGGGAGCTTGAAAGGGCTTCAAGAATGCTGTTGTCACTGTGGTCCATCTTGAGTTTCAGGTACTGTTTACTTGAATTTAAGGCCCATGGTAGCGTCAGTTTCTCTATTTCTTCCCCCTGTAGCAAAAATGCGGTGTCCTTACGATGCTGGAGTGCAGAGACCCTGTCAGCTTGCATGCACTAACACTTTATTATCTAATGATCTAATATGCAACAAGGCAAAGTGCCGGTGCTCATCATCCTGACATAGAATGCCGGGAGAAGTGACTAAATTACTTTATGTACCATTAGCGCCAGCAGCTACAAGAACTCACCGGCAGCATTTATGCAAATGCTTGTGAATACACTCTGGTGGCTTTGTCAGGAAGCAGGCTGACAAGCAGTTTAAATGCTCATTTTTTAGGGCATATACATACATATATATACATATACATATGTATGTATTATTTTGGCATGCATGTGGCTTTCTCCCCTCTTCTTCCCCTTCCCCCTTTTGGGTTGTTGTTGGTCTTTCCTCTTCAATTGTGACTGAGGAAAAGCTGAGTGGCCTAAGGGTCCCCATCTTTAAGGTATTTTCCACAGTGGGGTCAAGGCTCCAATCTGGTGGACTTCTTCTCATTTAGGGCTTAAATAGAACAATTCTTAAGAATTTGTGCAGCCTGTATATGTATTTGGGGAAAAGCGATGGAGTTATTAATGAAGAGGTTTTCAAATAAGAACATTTGCATGTTCATGAAGTCTGACCTGAGGGTCTATTTCACTTCCTGGCTCACGTAGAGATTTTTTTTTTAACACACCCACTTCTTAGAAAATGGAAAAGGATGGAAATACGGCTTTTGTGTGCATTGGATAGAAAGTTAATTTGCCTTCAGAGTAATTACGAAGATTACAATATGAAATATGAATGTGCCAGGACCCCAGAATAAATAAAAACAAAAGTGGGCATTGGTCAAACTAAAAATATTTTGGAGAATAAAGAGTGGCCAGAGGCTCAGGGGCTACTTTCCTGGTTGTCATTGCAGCTTTGGAGGACTAGAAGCAGGTCTGGGCCTCCACTAGTAAGCTCGGACCTTTTGGTGCAGCTGTCCCTGGCAATATGGCGGTGGTCTTGAGCACTGGTCTATGCCCTCCTTTAGTCCTTTTGCTTCAGGCTGGGGCAGGGTTTGCTTCTGCTGCTTGCCTCAGGCCCCACTGACTCCTTGCTGCCCAACTGCCCTTAAATTTGTTGCAGACAGTGAAGGAAGATGATTTGAATTTGTGGAGGTCACCCCAGATTGAGAGAATGATATGGCGCATCATATGGAAGGAGAGACCCCTTTCTTT